TATGGTTGAGGTCTATAATACACTTTATTCGAGAAAAATATGGTTTAAAGTGTGACAAACTACCCATAATTTTGTATGAAGACAATGCAGCATGCATAGCCCAATTGAAGGGAGGATTCATAAAAGGAGATAGGACAAAGCACATTTCACCAAAGTTATTTTTGACACATGATCTTCAAAATAATGGTGATATCAATATGCAACAGATCTGTTCAAGTGATAATATAGCTGATTTGTTCACCTGTAACACCCCAGAAAATTTTAAAGTATTTAAACGCTATTAAGAAAGTTAATATGCGCTAATTATATTATTTTGTGTGCAGACAAGGGCTATTATAAGAATTATATCAATTGATTATGATAAATTATGTATGAGGTACATTAAGAATAGTTTATGGTCTAAGAAAAGCCCCAAGGCTAAGTCAAGTTGAAAATTTTATGATAGGATAAAGTTTCAAGTGAGTTCGCACAAGACCTAACTTAAAACGAGCATACCTATCTTTATATGAAGAATTATTTGGCATATTACCTATCAAAAGAAAGGTCTATGTGTCTAGTTTCCAACGCTTCAAACCGTTCGTCATTTGGACACTCCTACAAGAAGTTATGACCAAATTACCAAAAGCTAGATCTGTGATCAATTTCGCGACCGCAAAACGGTTCCGCGGACCGCATACGCATCGCAAAGTGGAGCAGAGACGGGAATTTTTTTTAAAAAAATATTATGTTGTCGCATAATTGTTGATTATGTTGTCGCATAATCATTATGCTATCGCATAATTGTCGATTATGTTGTCGCATAATTGATTATGCTGCAATTCTGCTGCACACAAAACTATTATGCTATAGCATAATTGCGCCACATAATTGACTTCGGGGTCATTTTTGGAAATTTTCATATCCGATCCAATTTTGATATTGTCACGACCCAAACTAACCCATGTCATGATGGCGCCTACCGTGGAATTAGGCAAGCCGACTCATTTCCAAAACAAACCGATATTTTCATTTTTAAAGATAAGTTTCAATGCTATTCAACATAAAAACCTTCGTAAAGGAGTTCAAGTCAAAACGAAAGTTCGAAAAAGAAAATCCTGACATCGGGGTGTCACTAATCATGAGCATCTACTACAATCTGTCTAACAATATCAAGGCTAACTCAGCATGGAAAATAGCTAAATACAACTAGAGGAAGATAAGAGAGAGAAGAGCAGGGGCTGCGATCGCCAAACAGCTACCTTGCTATCTCCGAGAAAAATCTGCAACCAGAATAATCAACAACCGCTACCGTGTCCAGCTACACCTGAATCTTCACACAAGGTGTAAGGAGTAACGTGAGTATGCCAAATAAGTAAGTAACAACAATAAATAAAAACTGAGCAATAGTGACGAGCAATAAAGAATATCAAGTTCATATCACAAATATTCAGTAAAGTAAAGCATGCTTTAAAAAAATCAGTGTTTGAATCAAATCATCTCGATTAAACCCGGTTCCAGTAAAAATCATTTAAAGATATTTTTTCAACAGTTTTTCAAACAAAGGCTCAATGCAAAGATGAGCAAAAATGATGAAATCATAAACAGCCCCTCGGGCAAACCTCACAGTCACTCGTGCCACTCGGGCATACCTTACAATCATTCTTGGCACTCGGGCATACCTCACAATCACTCATGCCTCACAGTCACTCAGCACTCGGCACTCGCACTCAGTAGGTACCTGCGCTCACTGGAGGTGTGTACAGACTCCGGAGGGGCTCTTTCAGCCCAAGCGCTATATCAAGCTAAATCATGGCATAGATCACTCAGGCCCTCGGCCTATATCAAACATGCTACGGTGTGTAGCCTGATCCCATAAATATCCTCACAAATCAGGCTCTCGGCCTCACTCAGTCATAAACCTCTCAAGGGACTCGGGCATTTCAGTAAAAACAGGGCATTCGGCCTAAAACAACATTTATATGTATCAAAATAGAGTCATAAAACTGAGTTATGCAGTAAACAAGTATAACCATTACTGAGTATAGATTTTCAATCAAAAACAGTGAGAGGATAGTAAGAAAAGGCCCCTAAGGGTCCAAACAGCACTGGCACAAGGCCCAAACATGGCATTCAGCCCAATTTACAGAAACTCTTTCTAAAACATATAAGTATCATATAATTTCCACAAAATATACAACTTTACAGTTCCTACGGGACGGACCAAGTCACAATCTCCAACAGTGCACGCCCACACGCCCGTCACCTAATGTGCGTCACCCCAAAATAGTAGAATGATACAAAAATCCGGGGTTTCATACCTGAGGACTAGATTTACAATCGTTACTTACCTCAAACCGGTCAAATCTCTACCCCACAATGCTCTAGCCTCTGGACTCGGCCTCCAAATGCTCCGAATCTATTCACAATCAGTACAATACCATCAATATGCGCTAATGGAATGAATTTCACAAGAAAAGCTACAAAATTAGACCAAAACCCGAAATTGGCTCAAACCCGGCCCCCGGGCCCACGTCTCGAAATCCAACAAAATTTACAAAATTAGAAATCCCATTCACTCACGAGTCTAACCATACCAAATTCATCAAAATCCGACATCGTTTGGTCCTTCAAATCCTTAAATTACTTCTCCAAAAATCCCAAGCCCTAACCCCTCATTTTCACTAATTACATGGTTAAACAACGAAAAATCACCATATATACGAGTATTAGGGCTCAAGTAACTTACCTCAATGAAAACCCCCTTGATTCCTTCTTCAAATCTCTCCCAAAAGCTCCAAAACCGAATAGAAATGGTGAAGAATGCACAAATATTCACGAAGTGTGCAATATGTACCTTCTGCCCAGGCTTCTCGCACCCGCGCGACCGCACCTGCGGTCCCAACAACCGCACCTGCGCAAGTCACTTAAACGCCCAGGTTCCGCATCTGCGGCCAACCTGTCACACTTGCGCTTGCGCACCTGCGCGTGGCGCGAAGCATCTGCGAAGCCAGCCTTCTTCCTTCCTTCCGCATCTGCGCCACAGGTGTCGCACCTACGGGCTCGCAGATGCGATAGCCTTCTCGCACCTGCGCATCCTGACTAGCCTAGCATTGCCCGCACCTGCGAACCCCCATGCGCACCAGCGGCCCCGCACCTGCGATTCTTCCTTCCGCAGGTGCGGAAATAGCAGAAGCAGCAGTTTCAGCTGCATCTTCCAACTTCGACAAATTCGTTAACCACCCGGAATCACCCCGAGGCCCTCGGGACCTTAACCAAAAATACCAACAAGTTATATATCAACATACAAACTTAGTCAAACCTTAGAATCACTCAAAACAACATCCAAACACCAAATTATCCTCGGATTCAAGTCTAAGAACTTCTAAATTTTCAAATTCGGCAACCGATGCCGAAACCAACCAAACCACGTCCGAATGACCTCAAATTTTGCACACACGTCAAAAATGACACTACAAATCTACTTCAACTTCCGAAATTCCATTCTGACCCCGATATCAAATTTTTCACTACCGACCGAAATCGCCAAATTTTACCAATTCAAGCCTAATACTACCACGGACCTCCAAATCACATTCTGGACGCACTCCTAAGTCTAAAATCACCTAATGGAACTAACGGAACCATCAGAATTCAAATCTGAGATCGTTTACATATATGTCAATATCCGATTGACCTTTCCAACTTAAGGTTCTAAATAAGAGACTAAGTGTCTCATTCCACTCCGAAACCACTCCGAACCCGAACCAACCAACCCGATACAACACAATACAACTAAATAACACATAAAGAAGCAGAAATAGGGAAAACGAGGCTATAACTCCCGAAACGACTGGCCGGGTCATTACAGATATAAGGCCTTAGGGGGCATTTTAGAAGGTAAAATATAATTTTGTAGAGAGAGAGAGGAGAGAGCTATCTTAGAGGGAGAAAGAGAAGGCCTAGCTATTTGGTATACTATATACTAGAATAAGTTATTTTTTAATAATTAATATATGAAACATAAAAACAAATAAAAAATGTACTATATCAGTTATCTTTTTTTTTACATGTATAGTAAAAAAAAAGAGAAAAAAAAAGTTAAAAGAGTCCAAAATGTTTGCAGAATTAGATTATGAAAAAATAGGAAATAAGGAAAAAAATTGAAAATAATAATAAATGGAATTAAAAAGGAGAAAAAAAAAAGAAAATGAAAGGAAAAAAAAAAGAGAGAAGAGAATACAAGTCTAATGTATAAGTTGTTCTAATAACTGATTTAGAGAAAGTTAAAATGAGTAAAAAAAGACAAGATATATTATATCAATTATATTAAAAAAAAAAGGTGAACGAATGCTTCCTATATCAGTTATCTTTTATTATTGCATATAAAAAAAGGAGTAAAAATAGTGAATAGAGTAAGATTATGTAAAATAAAAAAGAAATAAAAAAGAGTTAAATGAAATTAGAAAAGTAGCAAGAAATAAAGAAAATAAACAAAAGAAAAAAATAAAATAAAATAAAAAAGGAGCCAAAATTGAGTATGAAATCAAATTATGGTGAAGAAAAAAAGAAAAAAAAATAATATGATTAGGAAAAAATCTAAATGAACAGGAAAGGAGAGAAAAGGCAAAAAATAAAGAAAAGAAGAAAAAAGAGGCAATTATCCACAAAAGCTACAATTGATAGGAAGGGTAATTAGTTTGATAAGTAGAAAAATAAATGGGTAGGCAAAGGGTAATTAGTTTCATTTTTGTGGGTATACCTATAAAACTCCCATAAGAGAATATGAGCATTTCGTTGTTCAAACATAATGTTGGTAATTGTTTCATCAGATATTTTGGGGTGTGAAGCAGTGCCAAACCAAGTTTCTACTAAATTATTAATATTTTGGGGTGTGAAGCCTGCCCATCTGTGACCAGGGAATTTTTACCCGCATTGGTTAAGTAATGCTGAATAAAGGGAGCTCCCTGTTGAATTAACTAAATTGAACTTAAGCTTTGACGATTGATCTTGCGTCTCATGCATAAGAAATTATCTCCCAGCAGCCCGTTTCAACTAAATTATTAATGCACTCTCACATTACATTATTAATTTATTAATGACAAATCAATAAATTACATTATGGGGGCTGAAATCTTCAGTCCCACCCTCTCCCCCAGCCACCACTAAAAGTCATGTGTTCATATATTTGAGAATACGTAAACAATCAGATGTACTAATAGCTTCAATGATCAAATGCCCATCTGAATGAGTTATGAACCATGAAGAAAAGGAACTTGAGCCAGAGCTGTGGGAAGTGAGATGTTGAGATTATGTGTTGCTAGATATGCAGCAATACCGGCAGCATAGCCAGCAAAAGCAAACCCACTAACCTGCAGAGATAGAAAATAACAAGTTATAACAGCAGAAATGTTTTTTTTTTTTCCAATGGAGCATCAAATAGCAGCAACGGTACCTTTTTCATATACCAAAAGAAGTCGACCTTTTCCATTCCCATAAATGCTACTCCAGCTGCTGAGCCAATTACTAGCATGGATCCACCAGTACCTGCACAAAATGCTACTAGTTGCCAGAACTCAGAATCTTGGGGAAAGGAGGATAGGTCGTACATTCCCATTGTGGCTGCAACCAGAGGAACATTGTCTATGATTGCTGAAACAACTCCAATTGTGCTCGCAATAAGTTCAGTACTTGGGATATGAGCATCAAGGTAATTTGCCAATTCTCGCAGAATACCTGCTGCCTCCAAGCTATGGAAAGGATGTTAATACACCAGAACAGCTAAGTAATGCTAAGCTTCCTAATTCAGATGGCATGGTAACAGTTGATAGTCACACAGTGCATGAGCAAAACAGAGTAATAAATCCTACACCCACCCCCAATCCTAGAAGAACAATAAGATTTTCCAAATGATTTCACTTATAGAGGTTTACTCCTATTAATACAACAACATACCCAGTATTATCCCACACCGTGGGGTTACTCCTATTAATAAATACTTAGAACTAGTTCATACCAAATGCCCTCGATTGCAGATTTTTGAACAGATCTAGCTCACAACATCTATCGCACCAATATCATGCTATCCTCCAACCAAAGGAGGGAAACACCTGACCAGCTTCCTGGGTGGGGTTGGATCACCGCAGTGAGAAAATGCCCCACTTTTAGAACTATGGAAAAGGATTGTGGATATGGAAATGAAATTATATGGTGAAATATCACTTTTATTTGGCAGTGAACATAGGGACAATTTTTTTTTTGGTTTGGTTTTCCACCCGATATCTAGTATCCGCGTTGGGGTCCGACTAAATCCGGATTCGTGCCAGGAAGTCCCACGTTAGGGGTAAAGTGCTCTCTAACAAAGGCCACTTCATACCTAGGGCTCGAACCCGAGACCTATGGTTAAGGATGAAGGAGTACTTACCACTCCACCACAACCCTTGTTGGTGTATATAGGGACAAGTTCACATCATCTACATGTCATTTTAGAATGGGGTGCATTACCTCATGTAAATTACTCCAAATCATTTAAAAGATCGTGTAATTTACATTAAGTATTATGATGCATGAACCTATTCTATCAAGAGAAGGGTTTTGCGTGCATTTTTTTTACTATGCTGCTGTAAAGAGGGAAGAAATATGAAATTTTTCCATAAAATATTTACTCAAGTAGGTAAGGATGCACTACAGCGATCCAAGTTCCAGAATTCTTGCTGTCAACCACAATTTATTTTTATCATCTGCCAAATTCAGTAATTAACTGACATCTCATAGTAGAAAAGACCAGAACATTGTTCTAGTCAACAGAAGCAAAAAAGGAACAAGATTGCATTAATGTGAAATAAACAAGCATGTATTAAGACACATGAGAATATGTCATGATAGATTAACCATTCTGCTACGATATTGGAGGCAGAAACAATTAACAACCCAAAGGATTCTTCAATACCTGCTAACGGACAATAAGATTCCGAGGAAGAAAAGAGCTCCTTGAGTGTCAATGCGTGATAAAGCCTGTGGTACTTTCAGTCGCTGTCTTTCTGATTCTCCATAGTGAATTGCATCTGTGATTATCCAAAGAACTCCCAGTCCAAGCAGCATACCCATGTATGGTGGCAAACCAGTCAAGGCCTTGAAAACTGGTACAAACACTAAAGCCCCAAGTCCTACTGAGAAAACTAGCTGTCCTCGAGGAGCCATCTGTTCGGATGCCAGAACATCTGCGGAATTTTGTCCTTTCCCATTTACTTCACTGAACACGGGAATAATATCACATATAGTTTCTTTCCTACTCTACTGCATGAAATATTTCCGAAACTCAAGAAGCTCTTTAGGTCTTGCTATAAATGTACCTTGTAAGGGACAGCAGAGCCAAAGGAACAGCTAGAGAAACTGCTGATGGTAAAAATAAGCCCTGCGAAAAAATAAAGTGCATTGCACTTGTTACCAAGACTGGAATAGAAACTTCAGTTGGCAACTGACGTAAAGAGTTCTTTAAATGAAGACTGGACAGGCTTAGACATGATCTAGCAGAGTGAGAGTTCCAGAGATTAATGTACTAATTTTCAAAATATAACTATGTGAAAGATTATGAAAGTCACTAGTTTCTTTTTTTCTTTGTTTAAATGAATATACGCTGTGGATACTGGATAGAACCAGTGGCAGCGTTGAAATAAAACTTCCTTTATCACGAAAAACTTATATACTTCTTTCCTCCCCTTCTTTCCGTCTTGCATACTTAATTCCATTAATAAGTGCAGTTTGAGAGAATGCAACTGAGTTGTAAGCATCATGCATTCATTTCAGTTCTACCTTTATCCATAGTGTCAAATATATATCCAACTAAACTTAAATGAGCATTCTCTCCTCTCTTCTCTCTTCTCTCTCTCCTCTCCTCTTCTCTTTCTGAACCCTAAGCAGCCGGCAAAGAGCAGTCACTGCCGGCGACTGAAAACCCGATGGCAGCAGCAGATAGACCCCCTTCTCTCTCCTCTCCTCTCTCTTTTTCTCTTCTCTTCTCTCCTGTCCTATTTCTTCTCTCCTCTCCCCCTCTCTCCCTTCTGAACCCTAAGCAGACGAAAGAAGAGCAGCCATCGTCGGCGTCTGCTCCCCTCTCCACCCCTCTCTGACCTGCTCTCTTCTCACTCTCTAGCCCCCTCTCTCTCTCTCTCTCTCTCTCTCCCTCCCGTCAGCCGCATCTCAACAGGTAAAAGGCAGTCTCTCCGACCCCTCTTTCTTCCTCTCGGTCTTGTTCCTTTTCGTGGCAGGACTTCGGGATGACGAGGATGAGACGGCAAGCCGTGGAGCCGGTGCGTGGGTGGAAGCACTATTTTGTCATCTCAGGCTACTAATCAGGCCCACGTTTCCGTACAGTCACATTACCGGCACTGGTGGTCACATCTTCAGTTCCAACGTGGTCCAATAACTTCGGGCAGCTTTCCGGCGAGCTTCACCGTTTCCGGCGACTAAATTCCTCGACTACAACACCAGGTTCTACCGTTCTTGTTCTATTATATTCTATTGCCTGTTCATTCTTTGATATTAGTTGTGTGTATCCAGTTTATTGTTTCGTTCTTTCTTATTAGTTGTGTATATACTGTTTCTTGTTGTGTTCTCCAAGATTTGTTATATTTTTCTTGTGTTCTATTTGCCTGTGCCAGCAGTCTTTGATTGTGTTTAATACATCTTTTTTGGTTGCCTCGCCAGCTACCCGTAGTTGGATTGATTGCTCTAGGTAGACAACACTTGCTGGCTTTTCGGTACTTGCAATTAGTGTCTATAAGTTTAAGTAATCATCTATACCATTTTAACTGCCCTGCATGCATAGTGGTAGATTAGAAACGAGGTAGATTAACTGCTCTAGTGCTTGCTTGTTTTACTATATTCGTAGTAGCGCTTTTTGAGTTTTTTTAGTCTTTCGAATTCTAGCTTATATTCCTTTGTTTTCGCTCTTTGCTATTTAAGTGGTAGTGATTACTTAATACCCCTCTATACTATAGTGGCTGTGGTGAATGATGGGAGAGTAAGGCCATGTCCTCGGGTGGGGAGCAAGGGTGGTAAGGGGGTTAAAGGAGCCTCTAGGCTGAGAGTTGGATCACGTTGACGAGGAAGTCTATAGAGTTAGCTAAGATTCTCCGGAAGAGGAAGATCAACATAGCATGTGTCCAGGAGACTAGATGAGTGAGTACTAAGGCTCGGGATGTAGACGGGTTTAAACTGTAGTACTCAGGAGGCACTGGGGGCAAGAACGAGGTAGGTATTTTAGTTGACGGGGGACATCAGGGAGCTAATGGTCGAGGTTAGAAGGGTAAACGATAGGTTGATGAGTATTAAGCTTGTAGTTTTTTTTTTTTGATAAGGAATGAGTATTAAGCTTGTAGTTGGAGGGTTTACTGTAAACACGCTCCTCAGGCACACCGAGATGGGAGGATTTGGAAGAGGTGGTGCGAAGTATCCCGCACACCGAGAAGCTTTTCATTGGAGGGGATTTCAATGTCCATATTGGCGCTAATGCAAGGGGTTATGATGATGTGCATGGCGGGTGAGGTTTTGGGGATAGGAACGAGGGAGGTACCTCACTGTTGGATTTCGCTAGAGCTTTTGATTTGGTGATAGCTAACTCAAGTTTTCCGAAAAGTGAGGAGCACCTGGTCACCTTCCGGAGTTCAGTGGCCAAGATTCAGATTGATTACCTTCTCTGCAGAAATGTGATAAAGGTCTATGCACTGATTGCAAGGTCACCCCGAGTGAGTACCTCAAGACCCAGCGTAGACTCCTAGTAATGGACCTGGAGATCAAAAGGAGTAGGAGGAAGAGGGCGATGTGCAGGAAATCTAAGATCAAGTGAGGTAACTTGACTAAGGACAAAACTCAGGAGTTGGGGGAGAGGTTGCGGGCTATGATGGAGAAGTAGGGGGGACAGGACTAGGATGTGGACCACGACAGCGAATTGCATTAGGGAAGCTGCTAGAGAGATCTTAGGGGTCACGAAGGGTTATTCTGGGAGTCAAAAAGGGGACTGGTGATGGAATAGAGAGGTCCAAGATAAAGCGGAAGCGAAAAAAGCGGCTTATTTGAAGTTAGTGCAAAGTACAAACGAGGAGAAAAGGACATATCAGGAGTGTTATAAGAAGGCAAAGAAAGAGGCGAAGTTAGCAGTTACGGCGGCGAAGACTACAACGTTTGGATATCTGTACGAGGAACTCGGAGGCAAAAGCGGGACCGGTTGGCCAAGGTGAGGGAGAGAAAGGCCCGTGACTTGGACCAAGTGAAGTGTATCAAAGATGAGGACGGCAAAGTATTGATGGACGAGGCACATATTAGACGAAGATGGCAGACATACTTTCATAAACTGTTTAACGAGGAGGGGAACATAAGCATCGTGCTAGGTGAGTTGGAGCACTCCGAAAGTCAGCGTGATTTTGGGTATTGTAGGCGTATCAAGGTAGAGGTGGAGGAGGCGATGCGTAAGATGAGCAGGGGCAGATCGACGGGACCAGACAAAATCCCGCTGGAATTTTGGAAGAACGCGGGCCGAGCAGGCTTGGAGTGGCTTATTGGGTTATTTAATGTTATTTTTAAGACAAATATGATGCCCGAAGAATGGAGGTGGAGTACGATGGTTCCCTTGTACAAGAACAAAGGTGATTGATATCCAAAATTGCAACAACTACAGAGGTATAAAGTTGTAAGTCACAATATGAAGGTTAGGGAGAGGGTGGTGGAAGTCAGGGTGAGGAGAAGCGTTCGACTATGGAAGCTATTCATCCGGTGAGGAGATTAGTGGAGCAGTATAGGGAAAGGAAGAAAGACTTGCATATGGTGTTCATTGACCTTAAAAAAGCGTACGATAAAGTTCCGAGGGAGGTTCTTTGGAGGTGTTTAGAGGTTAACGACATTCCGGTAGCGTACACTAGGGTGATTAAGGATATATAGTGCTAAGACTAGGATGGGGACTGTGGGAGGTGACTCAGAACACTTCTTAGTTGTGATGGGGCTACACCAGGGATCGACTTTCAGCCTGTTTGTTTTTGCCTTGGCGATGGACGTACCGACGCGGCACATCCAAGGGGAGGTGCCATGGTGCATGTTATTTGCCGATGACATAGTGTTGATCGACGAGACACGAGGCGGGGATAACGCAAGGTTGGAGGTTTGGAAACAGACCTTGGAGTCTAAAGATTTCAAGTTGAGCAGGACCAAAACAGAATACTTGGAGTGTAAATTCAGTGACGGGACTCATGAAGCAGACATGGATGTGAAGCTTGATACTCAAGTTATCCCCAAGAGATAGTTTCGAGTATCTCGGGTTTATTATCCAAGGTAACCGGGAGATTGACGAGGGTGTCACATATCGTATTGGAACGGGATAGATGAAATAGAGGCTCGTATCCGGTATTCTATATGATAAGAATGTGCCGCCAAGACTTAAAGGTAAAATTTACAAAGTGGTGGTTCAACCAACTCTGCTGTATGAAGCTGAGTGCTGGCCAGTCAAGAACTCCCATGTGCAGAAGATGAAAGTAGCAAAAATGAGGATGTTAAGATGGATGAGTGGGTGTACCAGGAGAGATAAGTTTAGGAATGAAGTTATTCGGGACAAAGTGGGAGTGGCCTCCGTAGAGGGCAAGATATGGGAGTTGAGGCTGAAATGGTACGGGCACGTTAAGAGGAGAAGCATGGATATTCCTGTTAGGAGGTGTGAGAGGTTAGCCATGGCGGGTTTGAGAAGAAGTCGAGGTAGGCCAAAGAAGTACTAGGGGGAAATGATTAGGCATGACATGGCGCTGTTTCAACTTACTAAGGATAGGACCCTTGATAGGAGGATGTGGAGGTCGAGGATTAGGGTAGAAGGTTAGTAGGGAGTTTGAAAGTTTTTCCTTTTCTTACCAGTAGTATTGGTAGCATGCATATACCTTCTTATTCTCAGATCTATATTACGTCATGTTGTTTAGTTCGTTTCAATTATCGTATTTCCCTGTTGTTACTATTTATTCTTTTTCTTCCTCATTTTCTTCTCTCTCCCTTTTCTTTCTTTTTCTTCTTCTTTTCTTCTCCTTCCTCTTCTTCTTCTTTTCCTCCTTCTCACCTTTTCTGAGCCGAGGGTTTATCGGAAACAACCTCTCTATCTTCACTAGATAGGAGTAAGGTCTGCATACACACTACCCTCTCCATGGGTTTGTTGTTGTTGTAAACTTAAATGAGCACTCCTCTACTTAGAATGGGGTTATAGTTTCCTCCAAAGCCAATGCAAGCATGTTTTCTGGCCAAGTCAGTGTATGTACGGTTATGTACTGTTTAATATGACATTAACAATGTTATGAAAATCACGCATATGTAGACCAATCATCATTCAATATTGGAAGCTATACCAAATGACAATCAGTCATCCAGTGCTTACTTGATAATTCCTTCTCGCCCTTTTCCCTTAGACTGTTTTCGCCGTTATGACACAAGGAAAGATGTGCATGCAAGAAAATAGAAGCAGTCAGATAGAAAAATTCAACAACCTTCATTGTTGACAACGTGGATATTTGCCCGTGTATCCAGAGCATTGTAGTTGTAACATCACCTATGGGAGTCCA